CCGGGGCCGGGGGGGGGGGGGGGGGGGGGGGGGGAGCCCACCCAGCACTCCCACAAGTCTCCGCGACGCAGCACGCACAGTCACCGCGGCCAGGCCCCGGGTGGTATCAGATTACCTTCTATCAACAATGCCGCTTTTCCGGCTTTGGACTACATTTCCCTTAAGGCTTTGCTGGTCGACACTCTGCCTCTGTCCTGTGCGAATTTGACTGCCCCTTTCTATCATTATGGCGCTCTCGAGGTGAGTAGACTTGCCTTGGAGGAAGATCAGCTCAATACTGGTGTTAGGTTTGGATCGGGAACTCCCTCTTTGAAGTCTCCCGAGTGCCGTGTCAAAGGAGCCAAGCTCAAATTCTGAAATACGAGGACGCCATCTTGTTTGGCTGGTCCGGATCTGGACTACGTTTCCCAGAGACCACAGCGGCTCGACATTACGTCTCTCGACGTGGTGGCAAGGTCTTTAGCTCCGCTGGGACCCGGACGCTACCAAGAGGAGGCCGAAGGTGAGGGGTCTGGGAATCCGGGGCGGGATGGGGCGTGTCCAGAGTTTCAGGTCTTTGCGCGCTGGGGGTAGCGGGCTGAGAATGCCAGATTGAGTGAGTGTAGCTGTGGTTGGGTGACTGTGAGTGTCCGGTTGTGTTCACGTGTCTTCAGGGTATGTGTCTGGTTGTGTTTTTGTAACCAAGTGTGATACTGTGTTAGAGTGTGGTTTGGTCCTTGTGACTGTGTCCCCGTTGTGTACGTATGACCGCACGCCTTGTTTTTGGAGGTGTGAGTGTGATGGGTGCGGGTATCTGGGTTATGATTGCATGTCTCCAAGGTGGGTGTATGGTTGCGTGATATTGTGACCGTGTCTGGTACCATGTGTAATGGTCGTGTGTCTGTGACTGTGTGATGACACTGCGTGTGTATTCCAGCTGTGTCCCTTGGGGTGTGGTGTGCGGGTGTGGTTTGTCTTTGCCTGTGTAAGTGTGACTGTGTCTCCAGAGTAAGTGTTGGATTGTGACTGATTAACATTGAGTTGGCCGGAGTGCCAGTAATTGCGTATATCCTCTAAGTGGGTATGTAATTGTGACTGCTGGGAATTTGTGGGTTTTGGTTTAGGAAGTCTGTGACTATATGAGAGTGACTTTGTGTGTCATGGTGGTGAGATTGTGTGACTTTGTATCTTCTTAGTAGGTGTGAGATTATGACTGTGTCTGTGATCGTGTGGTTGTGTCCTGTGTGTCTCAAGAGTGGATGCGTGGTTGTGTTTGTGACTGGCCATTTATTTTGTGAAGTATGCAGTATAGAATGTTCCTCAAATTGAGGTTGTCTGCTGCTTCCTCATTATTAAATTCAGATTATGCATTTGAGGCAAGAATGTCCCAAAAGTGATATGTTCTCAGTGCATTATATCAAGAGACCCATGAAGTCAATTTGTTTCATTATTAGTGGTGTTAACTTTAATCACTTGGTTACAGTGGTGTCTCCACTATTTTTCCCATTATAATTAAAGTGTCTTATGGAGAAATACTTTAAATCTATTATAAATATCCTGTTTCTCATCCTACTTTCGCCTACTAATCTTAATCCATTGTTAATTCTTACCTGAAAATGTTATTGCCAGCTATTTGCCAAATGGTGTTTTTTTTTTTGTTTCCATCATTCCTTCTTTATGTATTCATTGGAATCCTACTGTTAGAGGTTTTCCTTCTCTCCCATTTACTTATTTACTACATTATATAAGTATATACTGGATTAATTGTTATTCTAAAGGTTATAATCCATTACTATCACTATGTTGTTGCTCAATTATTATGACCACTGGGAGCCCCTTAGAGTTGGCTCCTGTGTCATTTCAATGTGTTCTCCTTTTCTCTTTCCCTTTCTCTCTCTCTCTTTCTCTCTCTCTCTCTCTCTCTATTTCTTTTAGTACTTATTTATTTTCATGCACCACAATATATGTTCCAAGCTGATACTGTACTTTCTCAGCCCCAGCCCTGGAATCAGCAGATTCCCAAGGAGCACTAGCTCCTTTAATCAGAAAACTAGAGGCCCGATGCTCAAAATTTGTGCAAAGGGCTTGGCCCTCGCAGCCCCGGCTTCGTCCGGAAAGACGTCCAGAAGGTCGTTTGGCTGTCCGGTCTAATTAGCATATTATGCTTTTATTATTATAGATGGTATTTAGAAATCAAGATTAGATGTGCTCATAGCTACTGGGATGTCTTTGCTTCTTGAAATAAATGTATGTATCTATACATACACACACCTGCATATAAATATTATATATGTATACCTATACAGGTAATCCATGATTTCATATGATGTCGCCTATTCTGGTTCAACACAACAGGTTTTATTCTTACGACCTCCATTTCTTTTTTTCTTTTTTTTTTTTTTTGGTAATTCCTTTCTCTGACAGTGAAAAACTTGGCTCTATTTAACCACAATATATTTTTTGCCTCAGTCCTGAGTAGAAAATAGTTTAAGAATTGCTAACCATACTCCCATACCCCATACAGTTCTTTCTGTCTTTAGTCTTTTTGAGTATGTGAAACATTAACATTGTTCTAAAAGTCAGAATTACACAAAATGATATACTCAGTCACTCCTCCATCATTTCTTCTCTCCCAATCCAATTCCCCCATTTATTTTAAATATATTTTGATTGATTTCAGAGAGGAAGGGAAAGGGAGAGAGAGATAGAAACATCAATAATTAAAGATTCATTGTGCCCCCACCGGGAATCGAACCGTGATCTCCTGGTTCAAAGGCAGACACTCAACCACTGAGCCACACCGGCTGGGCACATTCCGCCATTCTTTCCACACTGTATCCAATCACCCAATGTAGGTTATCAATGTCATCAGTTTGTTAGGGGTTTTTATGGATAAATATTCATAACATAAAATTTACTATTTTAACTATTTTTAAGTGTACTGTTCAGTGGCATTAAGAAAGCAAAGCATTATTGCACAGCCATCACCACCATCCATCTCCAGAACTTTTTTCATCTTTTAAAAATGAAACTCTGTACCCATCCTATCTAATAAAAGAGAAACATGGTAATTAGCCGGACCTCCGCTACCCTTCCCATTGGCTAATCAGGGCGATATGCAAATTAACTGCCAGCCAAGATGAACATTGTTTATACAGAAGGTAAACAAAGGCCAGAAAGCTGCTTTCAGCAGCCGAGGCCTCAGAGCTAAAGCTGGCCCAGAATAAAAAAAAAAAAAAAAAGCGGTTGGGAGCTTCAGTCACCCGGCAGCCTGAAAACGGCCCTCAGCCCCTCACCCAGACTGGCCAGGCACCCCAGTGGAGACCCCCACCCTGAAGGGGGTGTGACC